ATCAAGAAGTGTTGTTTATGTGTATAAAATTATCAAAGAGTAAATAAAAGATATTCTGTTAAAAAACAAAAATACTGTGTACAGTGTCACACACCTTTAATCACCGCGCTCTGGAGGCAGTTCAGGGCCAGCCAGGTTTACATAGTGAGGCCCTGTCTCTAAAGAAATAAATTAAAATTTAAAAATTACTCTGTTGCATGCTCCTTAGCTGTAACTCTCATTAGTCATTGCATAGTTTTAAGTATTAGTTGTCAGTAGATGAAAGAAACTTTACTTTAAAAACAAAAAACAAAGCAGAAATAAAACACTCATGAATTTGCCTGTCGACCTTGCTCAGAAACCATGATAATGTTTTAATTTTATTATAAGTGCTTCTCAAGTGAGTACTGCTTTTTTTCTTCTTCTTCTTTTTTTTTTTTTTCCCAAAAAGGGGTTAGGAAAGTATTAAGTGAGGGAGTACTTAACTCCTGATAACATTTGTAGAGCCCAAGTCATAAGAATGTATCTTGTGGGCTGGAGAGAGGCTCAGTGGATAAAGGTGCTTGCTGCCAGTCCTAGTGACCCGAGTTTGATTTCTGGAACCCACAAAGTGGGAGAGAGAGCTGATTCCCCCAGGTTGTCCTCCGATCATGCCAGAGCGTGTGCATATGCCTCCAATAAACAAATATAGAAATTAATGCAAGTACAAAATCTTGCACTTTTAAGAGAATTTGGAGATCTGCAAACTTTCCTGTGAAAATGTATATTAAAGATATTTTTCTATTTAGGTAAATAAAACAGTTTTATAGCAGTTTGATGGGTTTCCATGTTTTTCGCAGTTAGATATATAAAGAACTCGACCCATTTAAAGCAGGAAGGAAGTACATGTCTGTGTAGTCTCTATCAGGGATCTGATTCACCAGGACAGTAAACTGTGGAATCTATAGTCTGAAGATTTGGGTCCAGGTCTTGGTTCTCCTGTTGAATGACTTTGCTGGCAAAGATCTTTTATTGGGTCATATCTGAAACTAGGACAATGCTGTCTACCCTAGAGTGGTGGAGGGAGGAATGATAAGACATGGAAATAAAAAAGCTTGGCTCTCAGCAAGTTACATTTTAAAATCTGTATTCATTTATTTTCTTTTTTTTTTCTTTTTTTTTTTTTTTTTTTTTTTT